CGTTGCTTCGATCTTTATGTCGTCGACAGAATATCTCTAACAGTAGTCTTACCCAGACAATGAAATAACTTTACGAAGGGGAAGAAAGAGAGAGAGAGAGAGAGAGAGAGAGAGAGAGAGAGAGAGAAAGAGACAGATAGAAAGCTGTAAGATAATGTCATAAATTCTCTAGGTGACACCATTGTGTATCTTTGTCTTGAATCTTCTTAGACTTGCAATTATCTGCCATGTGTATAAAAGACAGGGGGAGAGGGAGAGAGAGAGAGGGTGATACTACACCAAAATCAATAATATTACATGTATAAAATACAGTATATAAACGTGATTAAGTATTACGATTTGTTTTCTCTTTGATATCATTAAAAATACAGATATATGATTCGTTTTCTATTAAACGATTTTTAATTGATAGGGGAAAATAAACAAAAAAAAACAAAAAAAAAACAAAAAAAAAAGAAAAGAAAGATATACATAAGTTGAGATATTTCATTGATTAAATCGTATTTATAGATCGATCATAACGTAAGAAAAAGAGAAAGAAAAAAAGAGAGTGTGAGAGATAAAGAGAAAAAGAAAGAGAGAGAGAGAGAGAGAGAGAGAGAGAGAACTGACCTACCGCTACTATTTGCCGACAAAGCGAGGACGTCACGTGACTACGGTATCTTTCGCGATCATTTTTTTTACCACGACATCGAGGTCAGTCTCTCTCTCTCTCTCTCTCTCTCTCTCTCTCTCTCTCTCTCTCTCTCTCTCTCTCTCTCTCTCTCTCTCTCTTCTCTCTCTCTCTCTTTTTACTTCTTCTCTCTTTCCTTCTCCCTCTCTCCATCCCACTCGCTCACTCCCACCATATCTCTCTCTCTCTCTTTCTCTCTCAATAGAGAGGTTACGTAGATGACCGATTTAAAACGGCCAAAATCGACGACTCGTTGCTCCGTCAAGATGGCGTTCGTAATACCAAAGAATTTTTGATGACTCTTACATCAAGTATGATGTAATATATTTATGATTACATATACACATACACACACACACACACACCAATTATATATATATATATATATATTGACACGTGCGCGCAATATAAATAATGCAAAAGCTATAAAAAATTCTTCTTAAATTTTCCGACTCAAATCCACTCTATAAACGCAATTATTTTTTGTGAGAATAAAACGAGGAAAAAAAAAGAGAGAGAGAAAAAAAAAAGACAAAGAAAAAAAAAGAAAAAAAAAAAAGAAAAAAAGATTTGGAACGGGCGTTGAAGTAAACGCTTTCACTCGTAGTTGTCGGTTCTGAAGATTCTTCTGAAAACAAGAAAAGCGGTTAGCCGTGCGGATCGATCGAAGAAAAGATTAAAAAGTGTATATAAATGTGTATCTATCTACGTATTTGTGTGTGTGTGAATGAAAGAAAGAAAGAAAGAAAGAAAGAAAGAAAGAAAGAAGGAAAAAGACAGAGAAAAAGGAACAGAAATAGAAAACTCTCGAGTGTACGTATATCTGGACATTCCTGAATTCAAGTAAACTCGAGTTCGAACATATTAAGATCTTCCATTAAATACTGGCTTACAATGTAGATACGTCTTCATCGTCATCGTCGTCATCATCATCATCATCATCATCGTCATCGTCATCGTCTTTTTCGTCGTCGTTATAGTCGTTGATCGTCTACTACCAACGTCAATTACACGATTACACAATGAAGTACAGCATAATAAAGTATGCATAATAATGATCGCGTCGATGAACTTTACTCGTTTTTCATGATGAAACGAAAAAAAATGGGAAGGAGAATTGCGATCATCTCTTCTCTCGAGTCTCGCATGAACTTCGAACGGCGTTTCAATGATATGAGAAACAAAAAGAGAGAGAGAGAGAGAGAGAGAGAGAGAGACCGAGTGAGAGAGCGAGAGAGAAACTTGAAATCTATATAAAACGTCTAATAAATCAATCAATGAATCTCTCTCTCTCTCTCTCTCTCTCTCTCTCTCTCTCTCTCTCTCTCTCTCTCTCTCTCTCTCTCTCTCTCCCTCTCTTTCTATCTATCTTTCTCTTTCTCACTAACTAATATCTTTCTTAAACATATACATGTATTTACAGATTACGTAAGCTTCGAGGATTAATGAAAAAAAATTATATTATATCGTATATAGTTAGGAATAGTAGAGTATCAGAACGAAAAGAACAAAGGGTCATGAAACTCGACGTTAGAAGCTCGTTGAATCCACATCGAGACCGTTGAAGGACTTGCCCCTGCACTCTCTACCCAACCACCCACCCATCCATCTCTCCTCTCCCAATTCCCCTCGTCGTCACTCCCACCCCATCAAACAATGATATTCCTCCCTTCCACCAACCTACCCTCCCCCTTTCATTCCCTCGCTAACTCGCTACCTCTTCTTGCATCTCTTTCTTTTTTCTTTTTTTTTTTTTTTTTTGGTCTACCCGCTTATATACATACATATGTGTATGCGTGTGTCTGTACTGTGTGTGTGTGAAATTAAAAGCTGGATATATTACAAATAATATTTGTAACGTTGGAAATATTACAAATAACAATGTTGATAGAAACGATTAATAATAAAAATCGTCGAAAATAATTACGGGGAAATATTCTAATGGTAACAGTTCAAAGGTTAAGAAATATTTTTCTATGTATTTGTTAAATTTTTATAGCTTTTTCTTTTCTTTTTTTTTTTTTTTTTTTTCCCACTATACCCCTAGATCGATCGATCGATCGATCGATCGATCGATAATTAATAAACAAACGATTTCAATCGTATACGTATTTGATTTGTTAACGATAATCGAATGATGATATAATTATCAATAGTATGACACGATTACTTTTACATTAATCGTCAATTAAGCTAATCTATTACATTATATTAACGCTCTATATGTAATATTATTATTCAAAGAAATATTTTCAAGTCAGGGGAAAATAGCTTGTTGCACAATCGATATATATACATATATATATATATATATATATATATATATATATATATATACGCGTGTTTTATATTACGAAAGCAATTATTTATGTGACCCTAATATGCACATGTACATATGTACATATGTAATGTAAACGCGCAAGATTTAGTATATATTACCAGAGTGCGGATAAACGTAAAAAATGTATTTTTTTTTCTGTTTCCTTTTTCTTTTTCTTTTTTTTCTTTGGATCAATTATGCGCAAGATAAATTCGATCGTTTCGAACTTTTTCGATGTATTAATCGATATTGTAATATATTGACAAAAAAAAAAAGAAAAAAGAAAAAAGAAAAAAATCGAAAGAAAATTTAAATAGAAAATAAAAAAAGGCAAAACTCACCGCAAACATTGAGCCATCCTTCTACCCGGCAAGGATAGTCCAGCTTCATCGTGGTCCTGTTATTATTTTACGTTTGAGTGCTGTACGATCTCCGATGTGATCCCAAATGAAAATCCAAAATCCAGCGTGTCTCGAGTGCGCGCGCGCTCGCTCGCGCGCACCATACACACGCACGCACACGTACACGCGCGTACACACAGCTGTGCCGCCACCCGCCAACAACGAAACGATATTCTCTCTCTTTCTCACTCTTTCTCTTTCTCTCTCTCTCTCTCTCTCTCTCTTTTCTTTTCGTAGAAACGTAAAACAAACGAGGTTACGTAGAAAAAAACAAAAAAGAAAAAGAAAAAAAAAACTATAAATATCGTATATCACCGGAGGGAAAATATAACTGCACCGATAACGATGATGTCGTGCATCCTTCCCAGTTCACCACCTCCTGTCCTTCGACCACGCGCGACTACCACTAACTCACCCTCCTCCACCCTCCTCCCTCTTCGTCTTCTTCTTTCGTCTCAAAGAAAAGAAAGAAAGAAAGAAAGAAGGAAAGAAAAAAAAGAGAAAAAAAAAAGGAAGATCTAAACGGCGAAGATCCAAAAAGGAAAGGAAAAAGTAAAAAATGAGAAAAAGAAATAAAAAAAAATTAAAAAGAGAAAAACGATGATGAGAAATGAAAAGGGCGGAGGGGGCGGGAAAAGAACAGAAAAAGAGGGCAAAAAAAAAAAATAAGAATCGTTAATAGTTCGTCGTACTAAACGTCGATCGGTCGATGGACACGCGCGCACGTACGAGTAATAATCGCGCACATATACATACACGTACACGCACACGCACCCACACACTACGATCCAACGGTTTAATAAAGTAACTTTTGTAACTGTACGGACGAAACGCAACAGAACACCTCCGTGGACGAACACCGACTGACTGAACGAACGACCCTCGTGCGGCCTCGTTGCCAGTCGAACGCCACCGACGACGCTATCCCCACCACTCGCGTCCCTCCTTTACTCCGCCTTCCCCCTCTCCATCACACACAATCACGCGACACCCGCTACCGACTCGCGCGCACTCGTTTGTACACTTGTCACAACGAGAAATTATTTTTCCTTATTTTCTCTTTACTGTTTCTTTTTTCTTTTTCGTTTACACATGTAACCGAATAAATACAAACCGTACTACTACACATTAGCTTCGTCGTCGTTCCTAATATCGTATATAATTAATAAACTCGCGTAAACTCATATTTTATATTTCTTTCTTTGAATTTAATATATCGAACAATTGCCTCCTTATACTCTCCTTAATACTTTCAACAATAACGAATTTCTATTAAATTTTTATTCTCCCACCGATTTCTCGACAATTTTATTTCTTCCCTTTCTTCTTAACAATTACACTACACGACGAACTTTTCACACTCGATTCACGCATATTTATATAGACGAACTTTTGTTATTTGTTCAACACTTTTTCGAGAACACTTATTACGTTTAATTCTCGTTCTTATCGATAAGCGTATTAATTAACATTACAATATAATGATATTGTTATATTAAATGTAAGCGACGAAGCGACGAAGATTCCGACGAGAGAACGAAAACGTTGAATTCGAGACTAACACTTTCGATAATCGAAATAATACTCGAAGTTTACACAAAACGATAATTGTATTCGATAGTATACCAAAGCACCATCTGACGGAGAAAGATATTAACAGTACTATCCAAAATGGCGCTCAAGGGACAGGTTGGTCAAAGTAAGTAGACAAAGAAATAATATTTTTCTATAGAATTAAAGTACGAATAAATATATTAATGTAACTACGCTCGTATAAAATAGCATAATGTCGATATTGGAATTGATGAAAATGTAATTTGTCGATGGTGATAAATAACTTTTAAACGAATGGGGCGTATACGGGAGTGGATGACTTCATCCCGCGGAAAGGATCGTTTGAAAGAAATATATTACGTTTTTTTTTTTCAATAAAGACGCATCAATTTGATGAAATTGACGTATCGTATCATAAATCACCATGAATTACTTGTGATAATAACGTGTAATATCATAAACGTAATGAAAATTATAACGTAAAAAATTCGTTCCTTCTGATCGATAAAAGGAAAATAAAGGAGAGAAAAAAGAAAGGCTAAAATAATAAAAAAAAGATACGATATAAAACAGCAATTATATTTTCAATCGGTAACATTTTTAAAGGAAAAATTAAAATTAACGTTATCACCAATACTCGGCCAATAGTCGTATTTACATTAGTCGTATTCCTCGAGCCAGTGCCGTTGTATTTTTCCTCGAGTTGTCAAAAGGTTACATTAAGTTAGGATATATTAGAAATGAATATAATCTCAATTCTTAATATTACATTTTTTCCATCAATGTGCTCAACGTTGTTCGTCAACGTGCTCGTCATATTTATTCGCTAGTGATAATTTGATTAATCCTACGATGATTAACGAATGACGTTAAGACGTATGTCTTTATTATTATTAGACGAATCGGAAAGATCGAAAAGAACGCGCGCGAAAATTAAATGTCATAAATTAAAACTCGTGTCTAATGACAATGATCATTTCAAATTCTATTATTGTCCGTGTAATCAACAAAAAAAAAAAAACAAGAAAAGAAAAAAGTAAGAAAAAAATAGATGTTTAATCAAATAATTCGATCATGTCGATCGAAGTCGTGAAATTTTTTTTTTCTTTTTTTTATAAATTTATAAATTTTCTTTTTACATGAATGTAAATACATACGTGTATGTAAAGGGGCCCTCAATTTCTCGATGTACGAGCCTATCGTTCGTGACGTCATTCGCCCTCATAAGGAACGATCAATACACGCGTTGAAAAGCGCCAAAAGATTTCTTCTTACTCGAATGCGCGACCCCCTTACGTCACATTAAACAATGTTATCTTATGAACTAGTTACTAACTCATTCAACAGGGGAAAAAAAAAGAAATCAATAATTGTAATTGTTTCGGTTTCTCTCTTTTTTTTTGTTTTTGTTTCCTCTCGACGAAAATAAAAATGTGCAACGCAATAAATTGATGAAAGAAAAGAAAGACAAAATGCAAGAAAAAAAGAAAAAACACATAATTGTCATATTCCTTGTTTCTTACTAATACATCCCTAATACGATCAAAACCATATATATATATATATATGAATTATTTTATAAGGAATTTAAAAAAAAAAATATTTTTTATTGACACATTCTTGAACGAGTATTGTCACGAGCATTTAATAATCATTTGTTGTACGAGCATTCAATTGATAATTATTAAAATATACAAAGATAAAAATCATTATCGCAATATTGTTTATTATTTCGAATAGCGTTAGTAATTAATCTTCGATATTATTAATTTTTCACGATGAATATTTAATATTATAATAATAATAATTATAATTTAATTACGAACATAAAACTTTTTAGTATATATATATATATATATATATATATATATATATATATATATATATATAGTCGATAACAATGGTTAATTTTATGATATTAGATTTAATTAGATGCAACAACTTACCAAAAGATTCTTTGAAATAAATAATATCGAATGAATTCTCAAGTCCATTTAAATTTTTATCCTCTAATAAATTTCTTTTCTATTTCTTCTTCTTCTTCTTCTTCTTCTTCTTCTTCTTCTTCTTCTTCTTCTTCTTTTTCTTCTTCTTCTTCTTCTTTTGTTGCAGAAATTATGAACGAGGTGATCAAGCAGAAAAAGAAAGCAGCAGGAGGAGTAGAATGGAGGATCCTTGTCGTGGATCAGTTGGCGATGAGAATGGTCTCGGCATGTTGTAAGATGCATGATATCAGTGCCCAAGGGATTACCCTGGTCGAAGATATCAACAAGAAACGTGAACCTTTGCCAACGATGGAGGCTATTTATTTGATAACACCGTGCAATTCATCCGTGCAGAAATTGATTGAAGATTTCAACAACCCGACTAGAACGACCTACAAAGTCGCTCACGTTTATTTTACCGAAGGTATGTATGTGTGTGTGTGTGTATATATATATATATATATTTCGATCGATCTACATACATACATATGTATATATATATATATATATATATATATATATATATATAACAATATACAATTGATCCATTTAAAAAAAAAGAAAAAATCGACATCAATCACCCTACTCATTCAAAAAACTTTTATCACATAGAGAACGGAAAATGAATATTCGAGTGAACGCGAAACAGTTGTTTTGAAAATATTATTTAGAAAAGAAAAAAAAAGATAAATAAATAAGCAAATAAATGAATGAATGAATGAATGAATGAATGAATAAATAAATAAAAATAATATCGTGTAATAATGCGACAATATGCATATAACGAACATAGATCAATGGAAAGTTATGAAAGTTACTGTCAGTCTATCTGTTTGCAGCATGCCCCGACGAGTTGTTCAAAGAATTGTGTCATTCTCTGGTAGCTAAGCACATAAAGACACTTAAAGAGATCAACATCGCTTTCATACCGTACGAGGAGCAGGTAAAGGATTGAATATTTTGCAGGAAAAAAAAAACAATAACAGCAAAAAACAAAAAAAAGAAAGAAAACAAAACAAAAGAAAAAAGAATGAAAGAAAGAAAGGAATACCTAAATAATAACAAGTAATGATAAATGAAAAAAAAAAAAAGGAAAAAAAGAGAAAAAGAAAAAAAAAGCAGAAGAAGAAGAAAACAAAAATGAACGAATAAGTCAAACTTTGTATAACGCATCTGTTCTTCTCTATTTTTATAAATGGTGGTGGGCACGTACATACAAAATTTGTTGTGACACATAAACAAATACACACAATATATACACACATACACATACACATACATACATAACTTATGTACATGTATACACATGCATATATATATTTTATATATATATATATATATACATGATATATATATATATATCAGCGTACCGAGGAAAATGCCAATCTATCATCATTACTCGTTCTCTATCGCTCTTCCGGCATCTACATTCTACTTCATAATCTTTCGCTCTTCCACTTCGTCCTTCGTCCCTTTTTCCTCTTTTCGACTCTCTCATTATTAACTTTTCTACCAAGAGAAGGCACATTACTAACGTTCGTAATACATTCATGCTTGCACTCGACCAGTCTGCCCGGAGGAGCTGTTCAATGAACTCTGCAAGTCTCTCGCCGCTAAAAAGATCAAAACCCTCAAAGAGATCAACATCGCTTTCCTGCCATATGAGTCGCAGGTGAAGAACAAAGAATTAAGGAAAAAATAAAAAAAAAAAAGAAAAGAAAGAAAAGAAAAAAAAGAAAAAAAGAAACAAGCAAGAAAATTAATAATAAAGATCGTAGTTCTTTGACATTATCATCGCGACACGCTTGCTTTCCTCGATTTTTAATAAAAGACCATACATTTCTTTTCCTTTATTTATTTTATTATATATTTATTTATTTATTTATTATTTTTTTTTTTTTTTTTTATTTTTCTTCTTTTATTCCTTCAAAGTAGAAACATAGGCGAAAGACTTCTTTAAAATCCTTGTGTATTGTTTGTAATCCTCTATGAATATAAAAAAAAAAAAAAAAAAAAAAAAAAAAAAAAAAAAAAAAAAAAAAAAAAATTTAATGTATCTGTATGTCCGCATGTATGTGCGCCATTTCCATATGTATTTTCTTTTCTTCTTTATATTCTGTCATATACCTTTGTGCATAACAAACGTTAAAAGCTAATGCGTCTTTGTAATGCATGTAAGAAATAAATATTTTGCTTGCATAATAATTTTCTTTCAAAATGGCTTGAAATAAATTGTCATTATTATACAGGTATTCTCTTTGGACTCACGTGAAACCTTTGCCTGTTTCTACAATCCATCCTTCTTAAATTTGAGAACTGCCAATATGGAAAGAATTGCAGAACAAATTGCCACTCTTTGTGCAACGCTTGGTGAATATCCGTCCGTTAGATATCGAAGGTATTACAAAGGTTTTAAAGACTAAATAATATACAATATTATAAAATGAGATATTACTTTTTGTAACATTGAAAAAATAATTTACAGTGACTTTGATCGGAACGTTGAATTGGCACAAATGGTTCAACAAAAATTAGACGCTTATAAAGCGGATGAACCCACTATGGGAGAAGGACCAGAAAAGGCTCGCTCACAATTACTTATCCTAGATAGAGGTTTTGACTGTGTTTCTCCCTTGTTACATGAATTAACACTACAGGCTATGGCATACGATTTGTTGGATATTGACAATGATGTTTACAGGCAAGTACCATGAAAAATTAATTATCATCGTAACGTAATCTAAAAAAAAACAAAATTAATAATTTTAATAATCATAGATTTGAAGCATCTGCTGGCGTAGAAAAAGAAGTTCTTTTAGATGAGAATGATGATTTATGGGTTGAATTAAGGCATCAACACATTGCTGTAGTCTCTCAGTATGTATTCAGAAATTATTACCTTTCCTAATATTAATTTATATATATATATATATATAATTATATATATAATTCTTAATCTCAATTTTATTTCATCTTTTAGAAACGTTACCAAAAATTTGAAGAAATTCACCGAATCTAAGAGAATGCCACAGGGTGATAAACAAAGTATGCGAGATCTTTCACAAATGATTAAAAAGATGCCACAGTATCAAAAAGAATTAAGTAAATATGCTACGCATCTTCAATTAGCAGAAGATTGTATGAAGCGTTACCAAGGAAATGTGGATAAACTTTGTAAAGTGGAACAAGTGAGTAATACATATAATGAATTGGATATGCATATTATATATAATTATAAAAATATTTTTTTTTTTTTTATAAATTTAATATAAAAATTTTGTCATAGGATTTAGCTATGGGTACGGATGCTGAAGGTGAACGTATAAAAGATCACATGAGAAATATAACTCCAATTTTGCTAGATCAAAATGTAGATCATTTAGACAAATTACGTATCATTGCATTGTATGTCATTAGTAAAAATGGTATAAACGAAGAAAATCTTAATCGTCTAGTTAATCATGCTCAAATATCTGCAGATGATAAACAAACTATCGTTAACATAGCGAATCTTGGCATTAACGTGGTAGTGGATGTATGTATAAAATATGTGTCAATAAAAAAAAAAAAAAAAGAAAAAAAAAGATAACTATTATAATCTTTGGGAAATTGCAGGGTAATCGCAAAAAATTATACACAGTTCAACGAAAAGAAAGGATCACAGAACAAACATATCAAATGAGTCGATGGACACCAGTAATAAAAGATATTATGGAAGACTCTATAGAAGACAAATTAGAATCTAAACATTTCCCTTTCTTAGCTGGACGTGCAGCTAGTTCGGGATATCATGCACCTGCCAGGTAATAATAATGAAATATTCTATCTGTATATTATACGAACGTATTAATAAATATTATATATTTCAAGTGTTAGATATGGTCACTGGCATAAAGACAAAGGACAACAAACCATCAAGAATGTCCCACGTTTAATCGTATTCATTGTTGGTGGTGTTTGTTTTTCGGAAATACGATGCGCTTATGAAGTAACAAATGCTTTGAAAAATTGGGAAGTTATTATCGGTAAGGATCAATTTTGATAATGGATATTTTTTTTTATATCGATAAAAAAAAATATATATATATATATATATATAATTTATAATTTTTTCATTTTAGGTTCATCGCACATAATTACGCCGAAATCATTTCTAAACGACCTGAGTAAACTTCACGTCTAAACAATTCCATAAACGATAATGCAAAACACTTTCTGCATTCCTGACCCGTCGTCACTGTCTATTTTGACTCTTCATCAGTACTACCAAACATGAATCTGTAACTTGTGATCTCTTTGAGGACAAATTATTAATTAAAAAAGAATGAAAGAAAGAAGAAAAAAAAAATAGAGAAAAAAAAAACAAAGCAAAAAAAGAAATACACGGTCAATTCCGTAGATAAAAGTTCGTTTCAAAGTCCGTTTAGAAACGGATCGCTAAAAATGATTATGCTATAAAAATAGATTATTTATTACTTTATTATTGTCTAATAATATTATCTACAATAAGTACTCTTATAGTACTGTAAATTAAAGAAGGAATATTCTGAATGGAGGTATCACCTGGAATCAAGTGCCTGCGTGAAGATTAATAATATGGGATCACGTAAAGCATGTTGGCAATACTGATGTATAAATATATAATGGTACCTTATTGTTAGAAATATGTGCGTGAATGATTTAGCGCAGTGTTAGAAGCAAGTAATTCGTATAAATATATAAATGAAAAGAAAAGAAAAAAAAGAAAAAAAAAAAAAAAAAAAAAAAAAAAAAAATCGTTCATTCGTTGTTAACAAGAAAGAAGAATTAAACAGAAAATGATGATTCTATGTGTTTTAGAAAAGACTCGTGATATATACGTATATAATGCACGCGCTTGGTCTTATCGAATTAATCTCTATTGATGGTCATTTAAATATCATTAAGAAAAGAGGAAAAAAAAAAAGAAAAAGATAAAAAAAAGTAAAATCCCTTTAACGAGAAGTTACGGATAATAATCATTTGAATGTTTGCGTGACAAAACAAAAAAAGAAAAAAAAGAAGAAAAAAGCCACGCATTTTTAATTAGTATTATTGTATACACGATGACATAGATAGTTCATTAATCAAGCGTATTCCGATAATGAAAACGTTCATCGTTCTCTCTATAAATTAAGATGTTGCAGTATCTGTAATTTATGTTTCTTTTGCTTAAGGTCTATACGATAAAAGTAAGAAGAAAAGAAAATATATAAAGAACAAACAAATTTACTCGATTCGTAGGCGTAGAATAATCGCTTTGAACTTGATTACTTTTATAGACATGTTATGTACGCGTTACGTTCGATTATTATTTATAATGATTATTTTCAACAGCATAGCTACGAAAAGAATTACACGTGTTTGTTAAAATATTAAATATAAAGGTAAACGTATTTACCTACCAAAAAAAAAAAAAAGAAAGAAAAGAAAGAAAGAAAGAAAGAAAAAAAAAATATGAAGAAAACAAAAATTAACCAAAGACTAACTTTATTTTTTGACTTTTTACGTATTACACCAGAAATATAATTTAATATTTCTTTAAATGATATCAATATAAAAAGAAACGATCTTCCTGAAGGTTATCAATTGACCCTCCGTGTCAATCCGATAATTTGTTAATATGCGACTGAAACTAACGTAAAGCTTGTGTTTTTTCGTGATTCGAGACAGTAGTCTTGTTGATCGTTCGAAGGATCTAAACGTGTCTTTTAGAAATGGCAGAAAGTAATAAAAGAGTTATTCTCGCGTATAGTGGCGGCTTAGATACTTCTTGTATATTATTGTGGTTGAAGGAAAATGGATATGATGTCACCGTTTACGTGGTAAGATTCTATACGAATTGTAATAACAGTAATTATACTATATTCCTTATCAATGAGTATATTTATTTATATATGAACATATATAAATATATATATATATATATATATATATATATATATATATGCAATAAAAATTTAGGCAAATATCGGACAGGAAGAAGACTTTGATGCAGTTAGGGAAAAGGCATTAAAAATTGGTGCTAAAAAGGTAGAATCCTTTGATGCTTAATTATAAACTAATTCTCTGATAAAACATACATGTAGTTCTTTACTTCTCTTTCTGCTTTTTTTTTCTTTTCTTTTCTTTTTTTTTCTTTTTTGTGTTTCTCTATCTTTCCTTATCTTAGGTCATTATAGAAGATCTTCGAAGGACCTTTGTAACGTCATACGTATGGCCTGCCATTGCGTGTGGCTTGCGTTACGAAGGAAGATATCTTTTAGGTACTTCAATCGCAAGACCATGTATAAGCGAGGGTTTAATTCGAACTGCTAAAGTTGAAAAAATTTCTCTCATTGCTCATGGAGCTACTGGAAAGGGAAACGATCAAATAAGATTCGATTTGAGCTGTTACAGTCTCTGTCCTGAAGTCGAGGTAAACTTTAAAATAATATATTTTCTTATATAAAAGAATTTTTTTTTGTTCTTCAAACTTTAATATAACATTGAGATCATTTATTTACAGATATTGGCACTCTGGAGAAAACGTGAATTTTATACGAAATTCACTGGAAGGACAGATTTACTCGAATATGCTCATAAAAATGGTATACCAGTCTCAGCAACACCGAAAGAACCATGGAGTACTGATGCTAATTTATTACACATTAGGTATTATTAATGATAATACAATTTGATTTCTTTTATTTTTTTTAATAAATTTAAATCAATATTATTTATTATAGTTACGAATCAGGAATATTGGAAAATCCGGCTATCCCAGCACCGATAGAATTATGTAAAATGACGACAAATTTGGAATATTGTCCGAACGAACCCGAAGAAATTGAAATTGCTTTTACTAAAGGATATCCCTCCTCTGTCCAAAATCTTGACAATTGTTATGTCATTGATAATCCTTTAGAAATAATCGAATATTTGAATGAGATTGGCGGCAAACATGGAGTAGGGAGAATCGATATAGTCGAAAATCGTTATATAGGTTTAAAAGTATTCGTACAGAATTTCAATTTAATTAATAAATAATGATTGCTCGCGATTCTCTTATATCTCTTGTTTTTTTTTTTTATCTTCTTTTTTTGTTCAGTCACGTGGAATTTACGAAGCACCAGGTAGTAAGATTCTTTACGAGGCTCATCAAGATTTAGAGATCTTTATATTGGATCGTGAAGTGTTGAGAATCAAATCTTATCTAGCTGAAAAAATGTCCGATTATGTATACAATGGTAATTTATTTATTATCATTCTTCTTCCTTTTGTTTTCTTTTTTTTTTTTTGTTTATTATTTTTTTCTCTTTTATATCAATGAAAATTGCAATCTCTCTGTATATTTTATTTAATAATCATTAATTAATCAATTAATTATTTATTCAAATGATTATAGGTTTCTGGTTCTCACCAGAATGTGATTTTGTACGAGAAAGCATAGAAAGATCTCAAAAGTATGTAACTGGCATGGTGAGATTGAAATTGTGTAAAGGAAGTGGTTAGTAACATATAAATCTCATAAACTTTCAAACAAATAAATATATATAATATGATGATGCTGACACTTAAATTTTTTACTTTTATCGATCTTACAGTATCGATCCTTGGAAGATCTAGCGATGTCTCATTGTATAACGAAAATCTGGTCTCAATGGATAAACAGGGAGATTTTCAACCGGAAGATGCCGAAGGATTTATTCGCACGCAAGCTATAAGATTAAAAGAATTTCATAGATTTAAAAAACAGCAACAAATAGGTGAATGATATTGGGAAAAAAAAAACTTAAAAAGAAAAAAGATTAAAATGGAGATGATAAGAAAATCAAATAATAAAATAAAATCTGTGTATGAATTAATATATATATATATATATGAAGTGTTTTAGAAATTCCTAAACACCTTTTGTTAAATTTAATGAAATCTTTAATGGAAATATAAACAAAAAATTATCTATATATTAATTATATACAAATTTATATAAAGAATTTTAGAAGACAATTGTCTTCTTACATCTATGTACATTTTACACGCGGATTAAGAGCAAACATAAAATATAGAGATGGATAAGGATGGAATATATATATATATATGTATATATATATATATATATATATATATATATATGTGTATATATATATATATACACACAAAAAACACACTATGACAAGTTTTTACTTTCAATGAATTATTAATAATTAAATCTTGGGATAATTAGCATATTTGTGAAGATTATAATAATATATAATGTATATTGCCTTATCACGGTATTAATATATAGTATACATAATAATATAAACTTTTATATCTCATCATCTTACTTTTATCGCTACTTAATTTGCAACTTAAAAGAAAATCTCAAATATACGAAAGAATAATAATAATAATAATAATAATAATAATAATAATAATAATAATAATAATAATAATTATTATAATTATAATTATAATAATAATAATAGTAATAATAATAGTAATAATTATTATGATAATAATAGTAGTTGATTGATTTTTCTCTCTCTTTCTCTCTCTCTCTCTCTCATTCTCTCTCTCTCTTTCTCTCTCTCTCTCTCTCTCTCTCTCTCTCTCTCTCTCTCTCTCTCTCTCTCTCTCTCATTTATCGTATGAGACTATTCCTTTGTAACTCACATTTCCATTTTACATTCTACATTTCTCTACATACATAACTTTCACCACGTTGAGTATCTATTTATTCTTACGTGGGTATAGGTGCGTGCGCATATACACACACACGATACATAACACACACACACACACACACATACATATGCACACTCTTACATATTACTTAATTACGTATTTATTTAACATGCAAAATTATAAACCTATAGAAAGGTAATTTATATTTTTCTCTATATAAATGTATATAACCGCGAGAGATTAACATTTTTTTTTTCAATAAGTCACATATTATATTTCGCACTCGCGTTGATTTCACGACGTTAGTCGATATATTTAATAAACATATCTCTCCCTCCCCCCCTCTCTCTCTCATTCCTATTCTTTTCAATTAGCATTGTATAATCAGTGATGATAGCACATACAACATCGCATTACTTGACGTTATTAAGTAAACGGAGTAATATTTACAAAATATATATATATATATATATATATATATATATATATATATCGAGATCGAACGAATATCATCTCGTATATGTTTTATTTAATATCAACGAAATTTCGTTTCAAAAAATGGAAGGGATCATTTAAAAAATTCTTTCATTTCGAGCTTTATTGGGAATCAATATACCGTGTATCTATTATGTACTTACGTTAGATAGAAAGAAAGTATGAAAGAAGAAAAAAGAAAAACGAAAGAAAATCCATAAAACTTAATCTTAAC